GGGGGGGGGGGGGGGGGGGGGGGGGGGAGATGCCAGGGACTTTTATTTACTTACCTATTTTTTTAAATAATTTTTTATGGGTTATAAATATTCATGAGATACAAAGCTGATTGTCATCCCTTGTGCCCAAGATATGAAGGCCAGATTCATACTGGCAGCATGTCCATTACCACAAACTGCAAGTGTACCCCGTGTCCCCCACACAATTATCCCCAACTTCCCTCCCCCTCCTTTTTTCCCTGACTCCACTTTGTATCCCTAGGTATGTTCTCTCCCTCTGTGAGTCCAATACACTACTGTGGTCTTTCTTTCCTTCCTTCTCTCTCTCTTAGCTCCCACCTATGAGTGAGTACATGCAGCATTTATCTCTCCATGCTTTGCTTATTTCACTCAACATAAGTTTCTCCAGGCTCATCTGTGTCGTTGCAAACTTCAAGAATTTCATTCTTTTTTATGGCAGAGTAATATTCCATAGTGTATATATACCACATTTTCCTTATTCAATCATCCATTGATGGACATTTAGGTTGGTTCCATATCTTGGCTATTGTAAACAAAGTTGTGATGAACATGGAAATGCAGGTATCCCTTCAACATGATGATTTCCATTCCTCTTGGTATACACCCAGAAGTGAGATTGCTGGATCATATGGAAGATCTATCTGTAGTTCTTTGAGAAACCTCCATACTCTTTTCCATAGTGGTTGTACTAATTTACAGTCCCACCAACAGTGCAGGAGTGTTCCCTTCTCTCCACACCCTCGCCAGAATTTGTTATTCACTGTCTTTTTTATTATAGCCAGTATAACTGGGGTGAGGTGATATCCCAATGTGGTTTTAATTTGCATTTCCCTGATGACTAGTGATGTCGAGCATTTCTTCATGTACCTGTTGGCCATTTGTATGTCTTTTTTTGAAAAATGTCTATTCAGCTCCTTTGCCCATTTTTTAATTGGGTTATTTGGTTTTTTACTGTGTAATTGCTTTAGTTCCTTGTATATTATGGATATTAATCCCTTATTGGATGCACAGTTAGCAAAAATTTTTTCCCACTTTGTAGGTTGTTGTTTCACTCTGTTGATTGTTTCCTTTGCTGTGCAGAAGCTTTTTAGTTTGATATAGTCCCATTTGTTAACTTTTTCTTTTGCTGCTTGTGCTTTTTGGCTCATGGTTATAAAGTCTGTGCCAAGACCTAGTTCCTGAAGGGTTTCACCTATATTTTCCCTTAGTAATGTTACAGTTTCAGGTCTTAAACTTAAGGATTTAATCCATTCTGAGTTGATTTTAGTATATGGTGAGAGGTTCATATCTAGTTTCATTCTTCTTCATATGGATATCCAATTTTCCCAGCACCACTTATTGATGAGGCAGTCTTTTCCCCAATGTAGATTTTTGTTGCCTTTGTCCAATAGCAGATGGCTATAAGCCTGAGGGGTGATTCCTGGGTTCTCAATTCTGCTCCACTGGTCTGAGTGTCTATTTCTATGCCAGTACCATGATGTTTTGGTTACTGTAGCTTTGCAGTATAATTTGAAGTCAGGTAGTGTTATGCCTCCTTATTTAAAGTTCTTTTAAAGGGGGAATGGGACAGGATAATTGAGTGAAATTTGTTCCTCCTTGGAGTCTGACCATCTTGTCTCCCAATGTAAGTCTGCCAAAGAACCAATCAAACCAAACATATATTTTTAAGTTCTTTCACTTAATTTAGTAGGTTAACCAGTTTATGTGGAAGAAGATAATTATAATTTAGCTTGATGACTCCTTGCAATACTATTTTTATATCTTAAAATGAAAACACTACCAATACTTTGGAATCTATAAGAATTCTTTTTGCTGCTTCTGGCTTAGGCACTTTTGAATCATATCCTTTTATCTTTTAAATCAGGAATCTTAGCATCAGATTTATCTGGGCTATAGGAGTACTTTCATCACTCATCCATTGCCAAATGTTTATAACAATACCTACTTCAAGGGATTATTGCAAAGATAAAATTAAATGAGATAAAATGTATGCAAAATTTTTGGCACATAGGAGGCACTCAAAAAATGGGAGTGCCCATCTCTTCGCCTATGAATTCATGATCTTTATTTTGTGAGTTTCAGTGTGGTACAGATGTAAAGGAGAGCTTTGAAATCAGTGAGGCCAGCATCCAAAGCTCTCCCAGCTGTGTGACCTTGAGTAAATGTCCTGGTCTCTCTGAATCTCTCTCTCTTCTATGAAAAAGAAATAGTAGTCCTACTTTGGAGGAATGCTATGAGGTTTACAATTAACATATGCTAAGTATCTGGCACATGATAGGTTCAAAATAAACCGTTGTTTTGTTTATCCTTAGATAAAATTCTTTTTGTTCTATGAAATGGAGCTAATGATTAGGGTTTATAAAAATGCTTTATATCATGATTGTGATTTCAAACACCTAGAAACTTATCTAGGCATCATTTTACGGTTGTCTCATCTGAGCATTTTTAAGCCACTTTTAGGTCTTGTGGGAATGTTTAAAGTTTTGTTATGAAGTCAATGTAAAGAAAGGTGCCTATCAGCTGAGTGGCCACTGACCCAACCACAGGGGCACCCCTGGCATAAAAATTGTAGCCCAACTTCACCCTGAATTCTTGGAAAGGTTGCATAATTCAGACAGATGTAGTAGGCATGAGATTACAGGCCAAGAGGAAGAGGTCGGGGCTGTGGGCAGTATATTTGACAGGCTCATACACTGCAAGCCTTGTTCCAGGTCCCTTACAAAGCACCTCTTTAGGATGAAAACAAGATGTTCTTTGTAAATAAAAGTTCATGCATTTGAGTAATGAAGTCATTTTCCAGTGCTGCAGTGAAAGATATTCTTCTCTTAAGTCCTCTGGGTGAGGACTGTAGGGATGAAGAGGGGTGGCCAACCAGTCTCCAGAGAAGATACTAGCACAAAGTGTGCAACAGCCTATGTCTAGAAAATGAGAAATCTTGCTCAAGAAAGTGGGCTCCCCGCCTCTCTGCCTTTTACCTCTGGCTCCCGCCCCTGGAATCCCTTTTCCACCCACTTTCCTGCAAACTAGCAGGGCCACATAAAAGATCTATATAAATACAGATAAAACATCCGGCACCCTAGCTAAATAAATAAGAGCCGTGAGGAAGCAATCACAAAGGCTGAATATTCATCTGGAGCACTTGGAGGGGCTCCAAACTGGAAGGGGAGGGGAGGCCGCAAGGCAAGGCCCGACCTGGTGTCTGGAAAGCCAACTTGGAGTGGGAGGGCCTGGAAGTGGAAGGTAAAAAGGGAGTGGTGAGAATGAGTGTGGGAAGGAAGCCAGAACAGCGCAGTCCTCAGTCCTGACCCGCCGGGAGAGGAGGTGGCCAGGCGCGCTCGCCTTTTGATGCTGGGCTTTAAACTCCATCCGTCTGTAGGTCCTTGAGCCAGAGCGGGGTGGGGGGGAAGGGGGGTCGTTCTTGAACAGAGAGAGAGAGAGATCAGAGATAGAGACTGGGGCGCTGGCTTACACTCACTCTCCCTCTTTTTACTAAGCTGCTGGCCGGGCTGCCTGGCGTCCCCACATCTGGACACTGCAGAGGGAGGGAAGGTAAAGGAAGCGAGGCGCCGCCGCACCAGCGGGGACACCGACGTGGACCAACAGTGGCCGAGCCCTGGAGGAGCCCTGTTGGACGTCAGCGGAGAGATGACTTTGAGCTCAGCCTGGCGCTCAGTCGTGCCTCTGTGGCTCCTCTGGGGCGTTGCCTGCTCCCGCGCGGCGTCCGGAGACGACAACGCTTCTCCTTTTGACACTGAAGGGAGCTCAGCGGTCGGCAGGCAAGACCCGCTGGAGACGAGCGAGCCCCGCGTGGCTCTGGGACGCCTGCCGCCTGCGGCCGAGGTACGGTGTCCCTGCCGTGGCCACTCTGCTGGGGCACCTGCGCCCCCGGTCTGGGCTACACTTGGCACTCTCTCTCCCCGCCTCTTTCCCTCCCCCACTGCCTTGAGAGTTTCACCGGGACTAGATCCGTTCACAAACTTGAAATGCACAGTTTTACTTTGTAAGTTAGATTTGGATGTTGTAAGTTGAAAGTTTAGGCTCTGGAACGTGTCTTTTCAAACTGGCAGAAATGCGTGTGTCCTTCGTGCTCGGAATCGGCCTGCTAGACTGTCACCTGGGAGTGCAGCAGCATGTCAGTGGCTTTCTGCCACGTCCGTGTCCCAATAGAGTCATTTTGTCAAGCCCCAGTACTNCTACACTTGGCACTCTCTCTCCCCGCCTCTTTCCCTCCCCCACTGCCTTGAGAGTTTCACCTGGACTAGATCCGTTCACAAACTTGAAATGCACAGTTTTACTTTGTAAGTGAGATTTGGATGTTGTGAGTTGAAAGTTTAGGCTCTGGAACATGTCTTTTCAAACTGGCAGAAATGCGTGTGTCCTTCGTGCTCGGAATCGGTCTGCTAGACTGTCACCTGGGAGTGCAGCAGCGTGTCAGTGGCTTTCTGCCACGTCCGTGTCCCAATAGAGTCATTTTGTCAAGCCCCAGTACTTAATGTGTGAGTCCTGTCACTGGCGTCCTGCTCCTCTGTGCTGTTAAAACATAGTGTAAAACCTAACTTTTTGTCTCAGGTTAAACAGAAGGCTTCTGCAATGGGAGGGGAGAGGGGGTGTGAGTGAGGGTGACAGTCACAAAAGAAGCTTTTAAAAAATGGCAGAGCAGATACCCTAAACAGAAATGAGCCACTACATTCCAGAAGCAAGACGTTCCGATTGTAATTAAGCCCCACCCCCAAAGCAAAAATGATCAGGATATGCTATTGATTTTATGTTTATTTAATGAGCTGCTGTTTGAGGATCTTACAATAGCTTTTAAGTTGAAAACATAACCAAAGTGTAGAAATTTGGTGATGGAGGGTAAGTCCAGAGTAAGTGATTTAAGAGCCCCCTGAGCTGAGACAGACAACAGCATGTCCAGTACGCGTGGGAGAGGCTGAGGAGGAAAATGAAGCCACCTAAGTTCATGGGAAAGGACAGAGCAATTGACCTAACAAAGCACACACACATGTATACTATAACTATGGTTCTGGCAAACACACAGCTAAATGTTAGGTGGGTTGACACCATTTCTAACACCACTGACATCTGGATTATTTCTGTTAATTCTACTAATTTTCAGTATAACTGCCGTTATTAATTATTGATGATTAAAAATAAGGCACATAAAGATGTTCCTTCTTCAGAATGAGCCCTACCCATGTTCCCCAAAAAGGTTGGGGGACGAATGGGCTGGGTAGGGCCAGAGTATACCAAGTTCTCATTGTGGTGTAAAATGTAACCTCCATTAAAAAGAGGGGACATGACTTCTGGTCAGCTTTTTATCCAGAAACTGGGGAGAAGCCAGACCAGGATAGACTGCACACAATGGGAAGGCATTGCATTCTACAGACTTAGAACTAACCCCCAGAGCATTATCTCCACCTGTCGCTTTGAGCATGGAAAGTCCCTGAATGAAATGTTTGACTTAAAGATAGGATTGGCAGATAAAATATAGGACACTCAATTAAATTCGAATTTCAGATAAAGATAAGTAAATATTTGGGCATGTCCCAAATATTGCATAGGAGGTATTTATACTAAAAAAATTCTTCATTGTTCATCTGAAATTCAAATTTATCTGGGCATCCTGTATTTTTATCTGTTAAATCTAAAGAGTCACACACAACAGTTTTCTGTAACTCTCACTCTACAAAAAATTGAGAAAATAATTATCTGAGTTTCAGGGAAACTTAAAGTTGAGACCCTAATCAATTTCTTATATACTCATATGTTCAGTGAAATAATAGGAAGGTGGCCCAGCAAAGTGTTTTAGATTGCAGGCTTTCAGGCTGATGATCCCAAGTTTAAATTGCAAGCTCCTTGACCTTGGGCAAGTTACAGATGCCCAAATTGCAGGTAAAGAAACTGAGGCTTAGAGAAGCTATTGATGTCTACTTCATACCTTATAGAGTTATCATGATGAAATTAGGTAAAATAGAATGCTCAGCACATGCTTGACATAGTATAAATGCTTTGCACGTGCTAAGAGTTATTATTATTATCATATAAAATATATGATGATTAGATTAAAAGAAACCCTTACTTGAGAATATTTTTCAGAACTTCGTTTTTATAATACTATTTTACTTCAAACTGTTATTATGTCTGTTTGTCTATACTCTTCCAACCAGAAATAATGTCCTATAGTGAGTTAAATTTGTAATACTGTCAGAGTCTAATAGATTCAGAATGCCAGCTGAGGTTTTTGGTTTACAGAAACAGAAAGAAGACATTAGTCATTCCAGGAAGGTCAAAGTATATGGTGTAGAAAGGGTGGGATTGAGGTAATTATGTTCCCACAGCATAGTTTCACATAATGTCTTCAGTTACCCTGTGGTCCCATGGCAATCCCAGGGCCCCACCATAGGTTTCCCATGCTCTTTATAGCCAGTAAGTAGACCTTAAACCAAATACATTCCAGAGATTTAATAACATGGTACAACCACTTTGCTGGAGCAGTTCAGGAGCCTGGATTTACATAGAGAAAGAGAAGATGCACACGTTATTGGTGGGAGAGGTTCAGTGTGTGGATGGGAAGATATTCTAAATATAAAAAAATCTAAAATAAATTCATGCACTTTATTTGAATCGAATTTATATGAATGGTTATTCTGCAGTTCTCCTTCAAAGGGAAGGAAGAAAAATATTAAGGCAAGCATGGAGCAATGGGAGGTGCTTGGCTGAAGGCTTTCCTAGGGTTCTTTCAAGCTCCTCGGTAGCAGGGCTTGTGTCCCCTCCATCCCTGGGTCCTCAGCCCAAGACACGGACTGTGGCACACTGTGGTGCCCAGCGTGAGCTGGGGAACAAACACATAAAACATGCTCAGAGTGAAAAGATGGAAAGCACTAGCTGACCAAGAAGGAAGCCCCCCCCCCTCATAAAACACACCCAAGCTTCTCCCAGGATGCAAAGAATTTGAAAAGAGGAGCATCCCTGGGTAAATGTGGGCTAGTTGTGGGGAGAATTTTCCTACCTTCTGCTTTTTGTTTATTTATTTTTTTTATTTTATCAATATACAATGTAGTTGATTTTCGTGTCCCTTTACTGAGTCCTCTTCCCCCCCATTCTCCCTCCTCCCATCAACATTATATCTGTTCACTTGTCTTAACAAGTTCAAGGAATTGTAGTGATTGTTGTGTCTTCTTACCCACACCCCCAACCCCGTTTGTTTGTACATTTATTTATTTATTTATTTTTAGCTCCCACAAATAAGTGAGAACATGTGGTATTTCTTTTTCTCTGCCTGACTTATTTCACTTAATATAATTTTTTCTAAGTCCATCTATGTTGCCACAAATGGTAGTATTTCATTCTTTTTTGTAGCAGAGTAGATGGTGAAAATGCCCACCTTCTGCTTTTTGGCAAGCAGTTTACTGAGTCCATTATTCCTGAGTGCGTGGTGAGAACAGTGACTTTCAGTAGGTGTGGGTGGGCAAAG